GCGACGTCTGCGCCGCGACCGGCGCCGACCGTGGCGCGCTCGCCGACGTGAGGTCCGTCGACGGCCTCACGGCCATCGCCGCGGCGTGCGCGGGCGTGGCGGCCATGGGCAACCCGGCAGCCGCCGCCGTTACGCACGTGCTGCACAACAAGCTGGAGTTCCCGCTCGCCACCAGCGTCGAGGACATCCTCGTCTTCTCCATCGGCACCGGCTCGTCCACCACCGTCTCTAGCGGGCCGAAGCCGAACACGCCAGTGCCGCCCACACGCGCACCGTCACCGCGCGAGCTGGCACGCGTCACCGACGAGGGCGTGGCGGACATGGTGGACGAATCAGTGGCCATGGCGTTCGGGGACGCGTGTGGAAGCAACTATGTCCGTATCCAGGCCGGCAGAAAATCGGCGCCTCTCCGCGCGGAGACGGCGGTCGCTACCGCAGAGGCGATGCTGGCGCAGCGGAACGTGGAATCGGTGCTATTCCGCGGGCGGAGGCTGTCGGAGCGGACGAACGCCGAGAAAGTGGACACGCTGGTGACGGAGCTGGTCAAGGAGCAGGAGCGGCGGAGGAGCAGCCCGTTCCCTAACGTGGCCATCAAGCAGGTTGCTACGCCGCGGCTGTCGTCGGCGACCACCGCATCGTCGGGCACCACGACGGCGCGGACAACGTCGTCGATGCCCTCGCCGGCGTCGTGGGATTCTCGCCGATAGTCGAGTTAATTTAGGCCGTGACAAGATGAGATTATCCAGTGTACATGCATGCAACTGAGTTTGGAACTGAATTTTATCACGACAATTCACTGAGCACAACAGTTCTAGGAGTACATCACATCTGCTGCTCATCAGACGCCTGTTTACGCTAATTGCTAGCCACCTCAAAATTAGCTATAGTACATCTAAACGACAGGGTTAATAGATGGACTAATTTTTTAGTTAGATCATCAATCAGTAGTTGTTAGCCAACTAGCTAGCTGATCGTAGCCAATTTGAATTAACTTTTAGCTCTAACTAGTAACTAGCCATATTGGTTATTTGCATTGCTCGGCCTCTCTTTGCTTACTGGGAGGCCTAGAAATTGAATTGCTGACCATTCTGGTTCCTGGAGATAAGTTAGCTATCGTTGAAGCCAAAGACTAACTATAGCAGGAATAATAGCATCGTTCAGGTAATATGAAGAGAATTTATTGTGGAACTCACCGTCAATCCACCTTACTAGTGTTGCTCTGCCTCTTGAAATGTTGTGTTATTCTTTCGGCGTTACATATATATAGTTGTGAGGCACAATGGATTGATAGTGTTTCTTGTGAAATGATGCCAGTTTTTTTTATTAAAAAAATGTTTGAATTTGATCCAATATTTCTAAAATTTCATGTTTGCGGGGCGACCCGCCACCAACGGGCAGCTGCTGGTCAGCCTCGGCATCACCCAAGTCCGAAGGTCAGGTGGTTGGGCCACGGCGGCAGCCAGCAGCAGTCCTCAGAACTGTACAACTGTACAAGAAAGAAAAGACAGCATGGGGAGGAAGAAATGACATTTCCCCTACGTTCTCTCTTCTCAAACTCGGAAAAATAATATTATAATCACATCGGTCTCTAGCAAACAACAATAGTTTAATAATAATGCCTAACAAATTATCAGCCTGTTCGTTTGGCTATGGCTTGTCATAAACGATCGTAAATTTTCAACCGGAACAGTATTTTTCTCTCACACAAATCAGCCAGCAGTACTTCTTCATGAACCAGCAACGAAATGAATCAGCCAACCAAACAGGCTGTATGGCATTTGGTGTGAAATAACGATGTCACGTTTATTCGATCCATAGCAAAATTTCTGCCCTGTCCGAATTTAAAGTATATACTTGTAAGAAAGTACCAGTGGATATGCACGTACGCCAAGCACGTATCTATTTTTTTCTTGAAAAGTGGACTAACGATAAAATCTTCTAGTTCCAACTTACATCCAGTTTACTTGATCTTTGTGAGTTTGTAGAAACTGAAATTTGCTCTCCTTTTTTTTACAGTAATATATAGTCATCGTTTGGTGCGGCTCGTGCAAGCTCCGGCTCCGGCTCTGAGTCTCCTGTATATCATTGTTGTGCACTGTATATCACTGTGCTGGTTGGTTGGAGAAAGAGCTCCGGCTCCGGCAGACCTCAGAAAGCCAGAGAAGCTGCAGTTTGGTGGCTCCTCCTGGCTCCGCTACAGTAGTGCAGAGCCGGAGCCCTATGAAGCCGCACCTAACACAGCCAAGTCATAACTTACGATGAGTTTACTTTGATGTTTGAGAGTTTGTAGAAATTGAAATTTCCTCTCTTTTTACTGTAATAATATATCTTACTTGTAGATACTTGAATCATCCCTACAATTACAGTATTTGATGTTGAGCTGCAGGCTAACCTCATTTGGACACACCTAGACCTATTGGTGATTCTATATATTGAGGTTTAGAAACACATGATCAAGAAATATCTAGCTAGATGCGGTAAACACTTCACATTTTCTTCTCGTGGAAGGTTACAATTCTATCGTCAACATAAAAAACTGCTAATTTGAGTTATTTTTAGTGTGGAGAGAACCGCAAGTGAAGCCATGCAGATTACCAATAGGCAACATAAAATACAGCTAATTTGAGTTTTTTTTAGTGTGGAGAGAACTGCAAGCTAAGCCAAGCAGATTACCAATTGGCAATTCCTCACACAGAAGCATGTGAAGGGCAGCTCAAGATTCTTGTATACTTTGATTGTGCACAATTGTTGCCATGGATAATTTAAAAAACAATAGTAAAAAAAGAAACAAGTGCCCACTAATGATATACTATTTACAACAAAGGTGACATTGCTAATGATATACTCCCTCCATCCCAAATTGTAAGTCATTCCAAGAATATTGGAGAGTCAAAGTTTTTCAAGTTTGACCAAATTTATATAACAAAATAATAATATTTATCATAGCAAGTAAGTATCATTAGATTCTTCATTAGTTATATTTTCATATTATACCTATTTGATGTCATCAATCTTTGTGTTTCTCTCTATAATTTTAGTCAAACTTGAAAAAGTTTGACTCTCCAAGATTCTTGAAATGACTTACAATTTGGGATGGAGGGAGTACTATTTACAACAAGGCAACATTGCGGACTGGATGCCTTTTATTCTATCATGGTTCTTGTCCCAACAACGAATTCTTGAAAATAAAGTCATTTTCTTCTCTCGAATTGATCCCAGCTGAATCATACATCGGATATTAGGAGTTCTTGGAAACTTGAAAGTTACGCTTTTATTCAACAACAAACAAAGGTGACACTGTTAATGATATACTATTTACAACAAGGCGACATTGCAGACTGGATCCTTTTATTCTATCCTGGTTTCATTTTCACCGCTTCTTATAACATCTTTATGCAGGAATGGATGCTATTTAATTTGTTTTGTTAGCTAGGTAGGTCTTGTTTCTAACATTCAGATTATGTCAAAAGAGAAATATGACTCTGACTCTACCTTAGTACTTTTCAAGAAACTATATACTCTCGATGTAACAACTAACAATTTGTAACCAGTGGTTTGGGTTCAGGTGGATTTGCAATAATTAGCTAATCTCATGTCATATCTCAACCTGATGCATATGGGCTTTCTTATATTCCCAAAAATATATTTCCTCGCTATGTTCAAGTGTTCTGTCAACAGCATGATTAAAATGAGGGAGGCAAAGAGAAAGTGACAATACTTATTACAACTCAAATATTACAGGATATATGCAAGTGAGACAGATGTAGCTTACAACTATTCTGTAGATCTCCAGTGACAATAAGCATGCAACATTCTTCTTTTGCTGCCCACAAAAAGTTAGGAAAAATACCCAAGCATATTGTTTAATATCAGGGGATAGTCCATCATCGTATTCACTTTACTGTAACCTGAACAAATTTGTTAAAACAAACGATGAGGGTTATACATTGAACCTGAGATAGGTGGAAGGGCCATATGTTGGCATTTCCATTTCAGCTGTAGGTCGCCTTTGAATGAAATATCAACAGTTTGTAGTCAATGTCATCTTTTTCTACCTCCGCCTTCCCTCAACTGTCAAGTGAAACAATTTCACACTTCAAACCAGAAATATCGCGATCCTTGAGTTTTCAAAGGCATGAAGTTATACCAGCCAACTTTCACTTGCATCCATGGCACAACACAGCTGACCATGAGTTTTCAAATGCCTTGCTCTTTACTTGATGTATAACCAGAGTGCACTTCCCACTTCTGCAATTTGCAATGTGCAAAAAGAGCAAGAACAGGCACGGACACAAATTCAGGCACTTGTAGCCTTTAAATGTCAATAAATAGTTTAACTCCCAAACTAAAATGGGTAAACAAGATCTTGTATGCAGGAAAGAAAAAAAAAGCAATTAACAAATAATCAGTAGAACAGAGGAAGCTAGAGCATTATAATGTTTTTCTTCTGTACAGGATAAACTTCCTAACATTGTGCTGCCACCTGAATTTGCAAATCTCTGCTGTAGAGCTCAGATAAAGGAAGAAAATAAAGCTACATGTGATGCACAAGGCAAGAGAAAAAAAAGATATATATGTGGTCTTTCTCAAGCAAGCAAACTCTTGCTCGCCCCAAAAGGCCAAAACACGTTAGTTCCATATCACAAATTCCAGCCAAACAGATTTATGCTATATGAAACGTTTCTTCTACCGAATGGAAGATAATGTAAGAAAGAAACAACACAGTATATCCATGCAAAGCTCTCAGGAACTCTATGGGAAACGCAACAAGCAATCTAGCAATTTCAGTGCACATAACCAAATAAACTAACTGTTCATAGCACCAAAACACAAGCTTCTTTCTTAGAAACGAAGCCTGCCACCAAAATAGTTCTACATATATAACGGATACAATGAGAAGACATATACAATGGCTGGGATACCCTTGCATCCTCTTGGGTAAGACTATATATAGCTAGGACTTCGGAAAGATTTGCTGTTACACACAGCCACTTTTCAGTTCAACGGGGAACAACTTTGGAGAGCAGCTGTTTCAGAACACTGGGGCAGCTAACTGTCAAGTACTCAAAACCATCTGTTTCCATGACTGCATCCAGATTCTTAGCTGAGCTTAGGAACGCGAAGCATGCATCCTTAAGCCCATGACAGTTGTGCTTTTCAGCCAATGCTAGGATGGTCGCAGCGGAGCCCTTATCGATATACTTGCACAGTTTGTCTTCACAGATCAACTTCAGCCTCTCCAGGTTATACCTGTCTGCGGCGACAAGCAGATGCTGAGCCATTACGCATTCGTCGTCTTCCTTCGTCTCTGGCAGGGTGTCCGTGTAAATGAAGGTGAGCAGCGCATCGAACACCTCTGGCTCCATGTCTTCGATGCGTATGGCCTTGGTGGTGGTGCTCTCTTTCATCGGACCAAAGAGCTCCGCTTTGAACACCGGCGACCGCGTCATGAGAACAAGCCGGTGAGCAGAGAATGTCTTCCCGCCGACTCGGAATTTGACATCGGCGCCCTCCTTGCTGCGCAGGAGATCACCGTAGTGCCGGTGCATGTCGGACGGCGGCACGACCACCGACGGCGTTCCCACGGCTTGGATGTCCCTCATTACGGTCACATCGAACCTGACGGCGAAGGAGTCATCCCTGAGATGCTCGGATTTCTCCAGAGCTTTCCTCTCGATGAACTTTTGGTATCCCCAGCTCCCTTTCTCCGCGAAGTCCACGAATCCGGTGACTTTGGTGTAGGACGGCACCGGCTTCCCGTCCTGGTCGAGTAAGCTGATGGTGACCTGCGCCTTCGCAGCCTTGCCGGGTACTGCACCATGGATGGCGAGAAACAACGATATGAAATCGAAGTTATCGGCGGCGCATCCATTGGGGTGATACACCACGAACCAGGTGTGCCTCCCAGGTGGAAGCGGCAGGAGTCGATGCGATGCCCATTGGGGACCTCCTTGGTGCGGGAGTAGGACACGATCTTGAGCACGTGGGAGCCGGTCACAGCGCCGGCGACGATGGCGGAGGCGGAGTGCGAGCCGTCGCCGCCCACACTGTAGCCAGCGACTGGAGAGGGCGAGGATCCCGGCATGGAGGGCAGCAACGTAGGGCGTGGCGCGCCTCGATCGGCTGGGTGGGCGGCGGCGGTGGCGGAGGGGAATTGGGAGGGTTTTGCTGTTCTACCCTTTTGCCTTTTTATTCATCATCCGAGAAAACAATTGGATCCTGTGGCGTGCGTGCAGATCGGACGGCGACAAGTTCAGACTACGAGTAAGGAGTGATCTGAGTACTCCTATCTACGATCTACTATCTATCTATCTACTCATGTCTATCTATACTATCTCGTCTCTTAGTCTATATATATCTATAAAAGAATCCTTCCGTTTGTGTTTTTTTACTTGGCACAATGACCCTGTTCGCAGGTCTGAAACTTGACCTGAACTGGCTGGTTTTGTGAGAGAGAGAAATACCTGTAGCAAATTTGGTTGATGAATAGTGTTTCTCGAGGGGACCAGCCCGGCTGGTCTGGATGGATCAGACCAGCGAACACGCCCAATATATGCACTTAGACCCTCCTCATTGTATGATCTAACTCACGGTCTAGCCTTATACGAGTTAGAATAAGGCATGATCAGTAACGGTATAACTCTGATCCCAATATACGTGAAGCAATGCTATAAAATTTGTTTCCAAAATATATTGGAGCAGATGATAATAGTCGAATAATCCAAGTAGTAAATCATTTCAACGTATAAACATGCTCCCTCCGTCCTTAAAAGAATGCAATTTCATAACAGTGTCATATTTTAGTATATCAAGTTTGACCAATTATAAATAAAAAATATAAATATTTATAATATCAAATAAATATTATTAGATTAATTACGAAATATATTTTTATAGTAAATTGATTTGGAACCATAAATATAAATACTATTTACTGTAAACTTGGTCAAACGTAAAGCGCTTAAACTGACACGCATACCACACTTATATGCTTTTGGGGACAAATGCAGTACTTGCTAGTAGTAGTAGTCAAATCCGACTGAAATTTACAACCCTGCAACCGTTACACCAAAGTTGGTTTGGCTCCTCAATCCTAAAATCAATGACTTAGGTGATTTTACTCTGAGAAATAGTAATATATGTAGATATATGATCTCATATAATATTTTAAAGTATCTTTTCGTCGGTGTGCTCACGTAGAAAATCGGCGTCTTTTAAGCTTCATGGACTATTCTAGTAGTAAAATCGGTGTCTTTTAAGCCAAAAAAATTGTTGTTTAGCTATATGGAACAATGGCTAGTTGTATAATTGGGCATTTAAGCTATAACATCTTGCTTGGATCACTCTATTAAAAAAAACGGACATATGATGCTCATGAAAGGTCTTTATTAGTGATCATAAATTATTTTTATGCTCAGATAGTAATTATTGGACTTTACGAACCGTAAAAAGTGAAGTAAAGTTATATAATCACATATTTGAGTAGTAATATTACAGAATCATCAACATTTCTATGCAAGCTTATATTACAAAATCACTTGCTCGGGCACTAATTAAAATCGTGGATAGGAGTATAGCATCCCATGAGCCCAAACAATATCGCAAAATCTAACCAGTGACGGACATGCGCTCGCACGACCGTGCTCCCCCGTGCTGACGTCGATCGTTGCTGGAGGTGGGTTAGGGTTTGCTGCCTGGTCCGAACCCTAGATCCCTAGCTAGCAATAGGCTAGCCCAGCGGGGCGTGGGTGGGGCGATGGTACCACCGGCCATGGTGGTGGAGGCGGCGGTTGGGGCGGACCGGCGGGGGAGGCTCGCCGACAACTAGATGACAAAGCCGATCGACGGGTTAGCGGAGGGCGAGGGTGGATGGTGGACGGGGCAGCAAGGCAGCACGTTGTCGGCGCGGCCGTGGGTGGTGCTGGAGGCGGCGGGCATTTTTTGTATGTATATGTCAATGAATTTTGTTTAGGGTTATGGGATGCTATATTTAATTTAAGTAACTGTTAGTCAAACTTAGTAAAATTTGCCTTTTTGTACGTCTAGTCGATTATACCTCTCTTTTTTGGACAGAGGCTATATGGCACAGGAAGCTATGTATATATATATATAACCCCTCTGTATAGCTTTTAGATGTCGTTTAGTATATGATTGTGCATACAAAGGAGTGATTAATTAGGGTAAAGTTTTCCATATTTACCCTTATTAAATAGGGCTGCGGGTGTACCGTGGACATGAAAAAAATTCGCCTCGATTGGTTGTTGCAGCGTCTCCCGAGGCAGCCGAGACTGAAGGTCTCAGGTTGGAGTCCTCGCGAACGCTTTTTTTTTTTTTTGCTGCGTTCCCAATTAAATGCGTGCCGTGATTAAATGAGCACTTGAACGGGCGGCGTGGCGTGCGAAGCAGCAGGGGCATTGCAGTCCAAAACAACGCATGCAAGCCAGCGACGACTTCCTTTGCCCAACTAACGGATTTGCGCAGGACGACGTCTAAAAGCTATACGGAGGGAGTATATGCTTGCAATTGAAAACAATCGTGTGGATATATATTGCCTTGTTGGTTTTGGTATATATACATGATCTTGTTTGTAACGAAAAGCCATTCGATCATGGATCATCCACCACCATTGAGTGAGGAGGAAGGAATCATGCGTGTCCGAGCCCCGCGACAAAATGCAGTGAACTCCGTCCAACATATCCGTAGCTAGTCCATATATACACTACCGGAAACAGTATGTACGTCGAGTGTCTGAGGGTTTGTCAAGTGCATTCTATCGGGCACTCGGCAAACCTGCTCTGTGCCGAGTGTCGCCGTGGAAACATTCGACAAACATATTGCACTCGGCAAAAGCCCTATTTGCCGAGTGCCTTAAAGTAAACACACGGCAAATCATAACGAAACACTCGGCAAACATCAGACACTCGGCAAAATAGCAGCACGTGCGCCGGCAGTGCAACGGCCGCCAGCTTGAGTGCCATGCTGGCAAAGACATTATTTGCCGAGTGTTTCTTTATGGCACTCGGCAAATTAATCATTTTGCCGAGTGTTTTATGTTGGCTCTAAGCAAAGCCTAAACTTTTTCCCTCTTCTGCCCTTAAAACATTTTCTACTCTCTTCATATAACATGTGATACTCCATGTTAAGATTTGGTATGTTTCTAGAACCGTTTGCTTTATTTAATTAATTTATTGCATTTCAAGGATTTTTTTGGTATAAGTCAAATTCGAACCGCAAGTGATTCAAATAATAGAATAAAATGAGTAGAAAAATTATATTCATGTTATTGAGTCCGATGTGAGGCCTTACCCAGAAAATGAAAATAAATTTTGAACATCTTGTTCAGGAAACACGACCACGAACGTGTGGCCGAATGGTTTTTAAATTCTAAAAAAGCAAACGAAGTCTGAAAATCATGAGATTTGTCAAGATCTCGTGATATCATACGTGGAGGCCGTGGTAAAAAATTAAGAAGGTTTCGGACAATCTGTCACGTACGATGTTTACAAACCGAGGTATCTAAGAAGAAGAATCATAGCGTTGAGAAGGATTCGGTAAGATTTAGAGTCAAAGTGACGGTCGAATTGGGGTTTGATTTTAGAACTTTTTGTATAGGCAATAAAGAACATAGATTGATTCATGTGAAATTGTGGTAATTTTTTTGATCCGTTCGATAATTTTAATTTGTTAAGTGCAATTATAGAATTTTAATTGATATACGTTGAATTTAAGCAACAAACTGCATGAAATAATAAGTTTTTTCACTTCTGCCCTTGAAACTTTTCTACTCTCTACATACAACATGTGGTACTCCATGTTAAGATTTGGTATATTTCTGGATCCGTTTGCTATATTTAATTAATTTATTGCATTTCAAGGACTTTTTTTATATAAGTCAAATTCAAACTGCAAGTGATTCAAATAATAGAATAAAATGAGTAGAAAAATGATATTCATGTTATTGAGTCCGGTGTGAGGCCTTCCCCGGGAAATGAAAAGAAATTTCGAACATCTTGTTCAGGAAACACGACCACGAACATGTGGCCGGATGGTTTTTAAATTCTAAAAAAAGCAAACGAAGTCTGAAAATCATGAGATTTGTCAAGATTTTGTGATATCATACGTGGAGGCCGTGGTAAAAATTTGAGAAGGTTTTAGACAATCTGTCATGTATGATGTTTACAAATCGAAGTATCTCAGAAAAAGAATCGTAGCGTTGAGAAGGATTTGGTAAGATTTGGAGTCAAAGTGACGGTCGAATTGGAGTTTGACTTCAGAACTTTTTGTATAGGCAACAGAGAACATAGATTGATTCATGTGTAGTTTTTGTAATTTTGGATTCGATTCGATAATTTTAATTTGTTAAGTGCAATTAAAGAATTTTAAATGATATACATTGAATTTGAGCAACAAACTACATGAAATAATAAGTTTTTTTCACTTCGCGCCTTAAAACTTTTTCTACTCTCTACATACAACATGTGGTACTCCATGTTAAGATTTGGTATATTATAATGAAATAATATTGGTAGAAAAATCAAATGAAAAGAAGAAGGAAACGAATGAAAATGAAAAAAAGTGGGTTTGCTGAGTCCACGGTTTGGCACTCGACAAATATGTGGTTTGCCGAGTGTCATATCTAGGACACTCGGCAAACTCCCCACACCCGGCCCTACGCATAAAGTATTTTAAGGTTTAGGAAAAGGAGGATACAAAGGGAAATAAAGAAAAAAAACCTTGGTTTGCCGAGTGCCTCTAATCTGGCACTCGACAAAGATGGGTTTGCCGAGTGTCAAATCTGGGACACTCGGCAAACATCTTTAAGGGCCCCACACATACGCAGTTTAGGTATTGAAAATTAAAAAAACAAAATGGGGTTTGCCGAGTGCTAGATCGCGGCACGCTGCAGCAAACCTCCCTCATAACCACCCCAATCCCGACCCGGCCGCACACACACGCACACACACTCAAACTTGACACACCCCACCACGCTCGGTCGCCCCTACCACATAGTCGCCCGGGCCCGCCACCTGCCCACACCAGCCCCCGACGCCGCCCGCCCACACCCGCCGACGCCGGTGATCTCGC